GTGTGTGTGTGTGAGAGAGAGTGTAAATATGAGTTGACTTTTGAGTATTTTTTTATTTCTAAGTTTTTAATGATATAGATTGGATTATACGCTTAAATTATTGCAATAAAAAATTTGATTGAATTTAATTTTTTGAGGATTTTTTTTAGAGCTTAAAATTTAATGTATTTAATTTTTTTTTGTGAGCTAGTGATGTAGCTAAAATTATGGGATCTTCTAAAAATTTGAGTCCTAAAGCCTGTAATTTTTTTTTTTCATACCGTTGGGGTCGGCCCTGATTTACTATTCTACTATTAATCTTCCAGCATCAAACATTTTCAATGAGATCTATGAAACAATTATTAAAAAGAAAGCATTAACTCCCAGAGCGATTTCATAAAAAAACAATCAAAAATAAGATTGAAGAGAATGAAATACATGTAATGATCATTTGGATTGGAAATTAATTTGTGCCTTTGTAGTATTGATTTTTTTTTTTTTTAAAAAAAAAGGAGAAAACATTCATGCATCCAATGCCATTCAAAATGTGGAATGGGCATAGGTCTATAATAGGGATAAAATGGTGACTTTCAATCTTAGTACTGATCAATTGCAAATTTACACATCCTATTATTTGTTGGTGTTGATTTGTAACAAGTATTTGATATTAGAGCATGTTGAAATATCAACCCGAGGGTGAACAAAAGTGTTAAGACTAGGCTCAATAACACGATCTAAATATATACTATTAATAAAGAGAAAGACGGAAGGTTTGATATTCACATTTGTAATATCTATAATATTCCTCTTCTTTTCTTATCTCAACCCGCATAAGTATCCGTACTTACAAATAGTCTTGCATAATTTTGTTTCAACAACTCTCATTGTCCTCCAATCTCACTCTAAAATTAGGGGTGAAGTCAAAAATTTATTTTTTTTTAAAAAAATTAATATTTATTTATATTTTTTTGACACGTAAAAATTTATANTGTAATATCTATAATATTCCTCTTCTTTTCTTATCTCAACCCGCATAAGTATCCGTATTTACAAATAGTCTTGCATAATTTTGCTTCAACAACTCTCATTGTCCTCCAATCTCACTCTAAAATTAGGGGTGAAGTCAAAAATTTATTTTTTTTAAAAAAAATTAATATTTATTTATATTTTTTTGACACGTAAAAATTTATTAACACAAAGCGCTAAAAATCAATATTTGTAATTTAAACAAGCAAAAAAAACTAATGACAACTTTTTGTAGTTTAAACAAGCAAAAAAAAAGTAAGGACAACTCTTTACAAAATATTAGGTTAATTATAATTATTTACAATTGATCTTGTANACACAAAGCGCTAAAAATCAATATTTGTAATTTAAACAAGCAAAAAAAACTAATGACAACTTTTTGTAGTTTAAACAAGCAAAAAAAAGTAAGGACAACTCTTTACAAAATATTAGGTTAATTATAATTATTTACAATTGATCTTGTATTTTTTATATATTTTTTTAACCATTATATGATAATTTTATTATTAATGTAATTGAAAACACCTTTATCTATATACATAAATATTATATAATGAACCTAATTTTATACACTACCAAAATAATCTCATAATTCTTTTTCTAAAATCACAAAATGGCATCAATAGGTCTAAAAACTTATTGAATGTGTCAAAACACATGTCCACAAAAGTGATAATTGTTTATGAATGAGTGTAATAATTGATGCAAAA